TAACAACAATGTTGAGGGCTTCATGTATTTCAGGGTGTAACTTCTTTGATGCCAAAGCTTGGCAATGAATCATCCAGTTTCCACATTGCTGCTGTTGCCACTTTCTTTACTCATGGCTGAAACCCCAATAGTCTCTCCAGTTATAGCTGCTATCCCATCCGTGCACAGCCCCCTCACACATAGCCCTGTTAAGACCTTCAACCACTATGAATTTACTGAGGATCATAAGTATTTCCTCACTGGTTGTTCAGGTCGAGGTTTCTTTGCAAAATAAAAAGTTCTTCAACTATTGTACTTGCTTTTATAAATCTCAGATAACACAGAAGTTGAGCCATGGTAGCTAACATGACTTAACTTCTGTGTTATCTGAGATTTATAAAAGCAAGTACAATAGTTGAAGGACTTTTTATTTTGCAAAGAAACCTGGTCTGTGGTTGATCAAGCTACAGTGCAAATATTGACTCTTAAATTTGTTCTATCAACTGGTCCTGGATGTTTTCTGCAAGGTCATCAATGCATTGATGGAAGGTGTTATTTGATAAAGGAATGGTTTTTCAGTGTCATGGCTGCTTGTTTCCCAAATCAGAATTCTACATGTCTATTACTTCTGAAAGGAGACGGGTCCTGCAAATGGTGTGCGCTTGTTTGCTTTTTGTAATCTGCATGGCCATATAAGATGCCTCTGAGGAGTTGCCTCTTTAGCCATGACTTTTTTGGGGGGAGGGAGGAAAAGGGGGGCGAGATGCTTTAATTCTTCTAGTTTCTGAAGGAAAAATCATGGCTGCTGTTCGCGAATTCCAGGTGTTGGTTTCTAAATGCTCTTGGCGTCATACTTTCAGTTACTAACATTGAAAATAAATGACACATTGTAGCTGCGGATGTTCTGCAGTAATACTGCGACATGAATATCCAGATATAATGGAATATCATCGTGTTACCTACTTTTCTTCCTCTTCTGTTTAACATTATTAAAATCACCTTCTTTGGTCAAAGATATGCTACATGTAGGCTTAGCACTTGGCAAAAATCATTCCATTATCAAGATAAGACACACCTGTCTCTACCTCAGTCTCCTTGCCTTATCTGCTGGCACTGGTGCTGCTGCCAGTACTGGGAGCGTCTCTTGAGATGTTTACACTTCATGCAGCAGCCCCACAGTCCGAATAGACAGACTTGGCTGGTGATAGAGTTGCCAATTTTGGTTGGACGTATTCCTGGAGGTTTCATCACATGATATAATCTTTAATTGAAGATTAATCTTTAATTCGTGGAGACTCCAGGATAGTCCTGGAGGGTTGGCAAGCAAGGCTGACGCTACTGTGCTAAAAACAGCTGTGTAAACATTGTGGCTCAGGCTGGGAGGTTCACTGCCATGGACAGTGATTCGGGCTTTGAAGAGTAGAGAGGAGGATGGGCTTCAGGGCTTGG